AACAACAACAACAACAAGATGTAAGAGAAAGTCAAATGATCCTATTTTTGCTAAAATACTTCAAAATATTTTTTAACACAATCCACTTATCCAGCTTCAATTGCCATCAAGTTGATTCTAATTCATAGTGACCCAATAGGCAGAGTAGAACTGCCCCACAGGGCTTCCAAAGCAATAAATCTCTACAGAAGCAGATCATCACATCTTTTTCTCATAGAATGGCTAGTGAGTTTGAACTGATGACCCTCCAGTTAGCACCATTCAACCACTGTGCCACCAGGGCTCCTATCCAGCATCACAGGGAACTTAAGTACATTATTCATACAATTAATGCAAGATAGTCCTATGGATATACAAGCACATTCTATTTTAAAGGCAATAAGTCTTTAGGAAATAAAACACCTTTACAGTAATAGTTAAATTCTTTTAACATTATATAGATGTATCTCATTGCTTCAGAAAATTAAATTCATATCCCTTAAACAGAACATGTCAAAAATACATAAAATAAAAATAAATAAAATAAACAAAATAAATTTAAAAATTAAAATTAAAATTAAAAAATACAAAAAAACATGCATTTTTTAACATATATTAATTTATTACTATAACAGTATGGGAGCGCTGGTATAGTGCCTAAGGCATTTGACTGCTAACCAGAAGGCTGGCAGTTCAAACCCACCAGCCACTCCTCGGAAAGAAGACTGGGCAATCTACTTCCATAGAGATAAAACCAAACTCACCGCTGTCGAGTTGATTCAACTCACAGCAACCCCTCCTTGGACTTCCCAGGCGGCATCACCACGGAAGTAGATTGCCCAATCTTCCTTCTGAGGAGTAGCTGGTGGGTGTGAACCACCAGCTTCTGGTTAGCAGTCAAATACCTTAGGCACCATGCCACCAGAGCTCCTTTCCACAGAGATATTGCCTTGGACACCCAAGGAGAGGTCACTATGAGTCACATTTGACTTGACAGCAGTGAGTTAGATTACAGTATAAGTTACAGAATATGGTAGTGTATTAAACATTCAAATAAAAGTGCTAATATAAAGATTACAAAAATTACCAACGATGCCAGAGCATGACTGGATTCTTCAGCCTCAGCTTAGCTGTCGCCTCTTCAGATGGGCTGTCTCTGACGACTGCATCTAAATTAGTGCCTCAGTCACTATCACATTACCCTGCTGTTTTCCAATTTTCATAGCACTTAAAACTATCTGATAGTATCTTGTTTATTTCCTTGGTTTTTGTCTATCTTCCTCCACCAAAATGTAAGCTCTACAAGGAAGGTCCCTTCTCAGTCTTGTTCACCACTAAATCCTCATTACATAGAAACAGTGTCTGTACACAGTGGGCACTTGATTAAAGTATGGAATAAATGATTAGGGTAATTAGCTAAAACAATAAAGTAAACCAGGAGAAAGAGGAAGTTAAGAAGGAGAAATACCAAATCAACAGCAAGGAAGAAGGGAATTTAGAATTCTCTAAGAAAACAGTACTCTTAGCCATATGATTAAGCAGGAAAGAGCATTTCTCACACCACAATTACCACTGTCAGCCAGGCTTTATTTTAAGGGAGTGTTTGACTACAAGGCCATTCTAACACAAACCTCCTGCCCTATACTTTACCATCAAGCATTACTGGTCCACTTCAATTAATAACTTGTCAGCTGCAACAGGTTCAGACATGCCTTGTCCTCTCCATTTATATCACACAAGTACTACTGACCCTTCTCCAATTGAGCTTCTTGGCAAACCCCATAGACTCAGGGTTCTACTATCTGCTCCTCGTCAATACTCTCCCAAAAATGTTACTGACAGGAATGGTAAAAGTAACAAAATAGATTCTACTTTGTTTTTCAGACCCTAACTGGTGGTTTACCCACCCATCGGTCCTCTACAAGATGTAAACTTATGAGGCAGTAAGGGGGAGATTTCGTATTCAGTCACATACTAGTTATGGAAGTCACTTACCATCTCCACACCTCAGTTTCCTCATTTGTAAAAATAGGGATAAACAGAGTATCTTTCTCAAAGGGATTTTGTGAGGATTCAATGAGATAATGCATATAGGGCAATTAGCATAGCACAGGACATCAGAAAGCATTTTTGTGGGCTGCTTTTAATATGAAGATGAAGACAAATCTATGGAAGACGGCTTCAGGGCTCGGTTCCTGGTAAGATTCAAATGGACCTTTAAAACACGAAAAGGGAGACAACAGCTTCCTCATTTCGCTGTTTCCAGACACCTCTGCCCATCAAATCAATCTCCAGGAGCCTTGCGATTTGCCAGAGTAAGAGTAGGGGGCTGGTATTAAAACCAGGTAAGAAAAGCTGTTAGGAGGAACCACCTAATAGCATCAGGGACGATCAAGAAAATTTGCTTTATTACTTTCATGCTTATGCCCCAGAGAGTCGCGAAGGCAGAGTAAACAGTGCTCCTACTTTGGTTTGGTTGGGCCTTTAGGAGCTGTGGTGTAGTGCCTAAGGCATCTGACCGCTAACCAAAAGGCTGGCGGTTCAAACCCACCAGCCACTCCTCGGAAGGAAGGTTGGGAAATCCACTTCCGTAGAGATACCGCCTGGAAAACCCAAGGAGGGGTCGCTATGAGTCTGGAGTGACGACGGTAGTGAGTTTGGGTTTTTAGGGGGTTAGTTGTGGTAACCAGCGTTCAGAAATGGCCAGTGCACCGCCTAGAGGTCACGCCCTCTCCAGCATCGTGGGATAAGAAACACAGCCCCAGTTTTATCAACAGGAGGTGATTCTCCGGCTTTGCTGCAGGTTGGACAGCGTTTATATCCCAGAGGCCCTCTGCTCTCACCTCAGCGCCCTACGCCCACCTCCCCCAGCTACTCAGGTAAGTTCCCAAAGGCCCACCAGACAGCGCCAGCATTCCAGCATCATCTCTGCGCCTGCTCCACTGGTCTCCCGAGCTGCAGCCTACCCATACCCGAAGCCTTTCCATGAGCTCGCGGCCCCAGAGCCCAGGATCTGCCCTCGAGCTCGGTACAGAGCCCTCGCGTAGCTCCTCAGCACCAGCTCTGTCTCGCCTGGTTGCCTCTCAGCCCGGACCTGCTGAGGCTCCAGCCCTCTCCTCACGCACACACCTGGTCCTTCACAGCCCCGTCAGCTTCTCTTCCTTCACTCCGGACCTCTTCAGGAAGCAAATGGCTCAACTGGTACTGAGAGTCCACCACCGCCTTCTCCTCCTCCTCCACGCCATATTACGGTTCTCAGGCGGCAGCGCGGGCTCCTGGCAACCGTCGCCGCCGCCGCCGCAGCCTGGACTCCACCTTCCAGAGCATGCACTTCCGGCGTTTGCTTACGGGGCAATTGTAATGTGCGGATCTCCAGAAAAACTACAATCCCCGAGGTGCATTGCGCTTGGGGCATATGCACTCACACAATGATGGAGGACGTAGACTTCAGGGTAAATGCGATGCTACCTGTAGTCTCGTTGTTGTTATGTGCCGTCAAGTCGGCCGAACTCATAGAGACCCCTCCTTGGGTTTCTGAGGCAATATCACTACGGAAGTAGATTACCCAACCTTCCTTACGAGGAGTGGCTGGTGGGTTTGAACCTCCAGCCCTCTGGTTAGCAGTCAAGTGCCTTAGGAACTGCGCTACCAGAGCTCCGGAACTGTAGTCTTAAGGGGCTCTAAAATTATAATTTTTTACAGTAGGAATGCTCTGAAGGGTCTGACCCAAAATCAAACCCACTCCTTGGAGTAGACTCCGACTCATAGCGACCCCTATTGGATTCCCAAGGTATAAATCTTTACAGACGTACATTGCCCCATCGTCCTTTTGTGGAGGGGCTGGTGGGTTTGAACCGCCAACCTTCTGAATAGTAGTCAAATGCTTTAGGCTTTACGCCACCAGTGCACCTTAAAGGGTCTGAAGCCTCCTGAAAACTTCTTTAAAATTATCATTTTTACTTATCTCTAGAAATACACTCCTGTGTAGCTGTTGGGAAACATACAATATGCACCAAAGTTATTTCTCTGTAGATAAAATATTCCTGAATCCACAGATGCCAGCTTTAAGCCCTAAGACATCCTTACCCTTTCACAAATCACTGAGAAATGATGTCCAAAAAGAAAGGTAACAGGTTCAAGATGGCAGAAAAAGCCCCAGACCTTTTGCCAAACTTTTCTAAGCAATATGCCACCAGTTTTTCAAAATAAGATTTAGTGGCTGCTCTCCCTCCCCCTTCTCTGAACAATGCAAACAGTTAACTTGCTTGGCTGCTAATCAAAAGGTTAGAGGTTTGAGTCCATCTAGAGGTACTTGATGGTGTTCTGGTGGCACAGTGCCTAAGACATTTGACTGCTAACCAGAAGGTTGGTGCTTCAAACCAACCAGCCGATCTGCTGAAGGAAGATAGGGCAATCTACTTTGGTAAAGATTTACCTCCTTCGAAACCCAATGGGGGTCACTCTGAGTTGGAATCAACTTGATGGCTGTGGGTTTGTTTTTTTTTTTTTTGGTTTAGAGGTACCTAGGAAGAAAGGTCTGGCATGAGTAGCAACTGGGATCTTAAAAGCTAGCAAGCTGCCATCTAGCTGCAACAATGGGTCTCTCCTTGTCCAGAGTAAAGAAGAATGAAGAAAACCAAAAATTCATGGAAACGATTAGTCCTAGCGACTGGTACACCATCTCATCTGCAGCCTATATGATTATGAGACCAGAAGAACTAGATGGTGCCCAGTTACCACTGTCATCCACTTGGAAGGGGATCTATGTAGGAGATCCTTGACAGAGAGGGAGAACAATGTGGAACAAAACTCAAAATCATTTGGAGGAAAAAAAAAAGTGGGGACCAGGTTTGCTGGTTCGATAGAGCCTGGTAGAACCACTGAGACTATGGGCCCTAGCTGCCCTTCAGATCTGGAATTGAACACAGAACCGTGGTTTCTAGGCAAACAAAAGACAGGCATATGAGTTGAACATTTACCTCAGGTAGATACACTCCTTGGAGAGAACAATCATGGAAGAAAGAAGGGCTGCTTGTGCACAGGGGACAGCTCAGGGGGCAGGAATGCGTGGAGTGATGGACAGTGGGAAGAGGTAACTATGGGGAGGAAGTGGGAGGGGAGCTGTTGCATTGTGATAAACTGTAATCAATATCATGAGACAAAGTGTATGTGAACTGCTGTATGGAAAGTGAATCTGCTCTGTAAATCTTCACCCAAATCACAATAAAAAATAATAATATAAAATAAAAAAAGAAAGGCCTGGCAGTCTACTTCTGAAAAATCAACCTTTTAAAACCCTGTGGAACACAGCTTCACTCTGGGCACCAGAAATAGAGTTGATTCTACAGCAACCAGTTGTTTATTTTTTCCATTCCCTAACTTGACTTTACCTTCTGTCTCTCTGAATGTCCCTCCTTCTAGTGCCTATTTTTGCACATGTAAAATGAGGATTTTAAAGGTACCTAAAACAAGGGTTGCTATGAAAAACAATTGAGATAATCCTTACACAGTGACTACATACATCCCAATTATTGGCCTCCCAACCAGCCACTCTGCAGAAAGAAGCCTGGGCAATCTACTTCTGTAAAGATTTACTGCCTCGGAAAACCAGAGGGAGGTCGCTATGAGTCAGAATCAACTCAATGGCAGTGATTTATTTTTATTTTTATTTTATTTTGGAGCAGAAGGAGATGTAAGGTTGGGAGGAGGAGTAGCAGTGGAAAAGCCAGGCCTAAGAGAGATAACTTGATGTCTGACAATTTACTGCTCCATTATCTTCACTGCTCCTGGCCTCATGTTCCTAGTCTATAAAATGAGACTCATTAAAATCCCTTCTAGCTTTATAATCTGTGCCCCTTTTAGAAGTAAGGTGAGGTAGACTGCATCCGGAAAGGTTTACAGACTTGGAAAACCCTATGGGCAGTTCTACCCTGTCCCATAGGGTTGCTATTGGTTGTAATAAACTTGATGGCAGTGGGTTTGGTTTTTGTTGTTTGTTTGTGTCTCTTTGGGTGCACATTTTTTCATCCTTCAGAATATGAAAATTGGTTAAGTCGATTGAAACCAGTTTTCTGAGATGGTACCTACCTACTGAAGCTGTTTGGATAATAAATGAGATGAGGCATATAAAGGATTTGCTGGGTACAGTACCTGGGACATGCTGTCAAACCCAACCCACTGCCATCAAGTCATTCTGACTTATAGTGACCCTACAGGACAGAGAAGAACTGCTCCCTACAGTTTCCTAGGTTTTACGGAAGCCAATTCCCTCATCTTTTATCCACGTAGCAGCTGGTAGTTTCGAACTGTAAACTTTTTGGTTAGCAACTGTGCCACCAGAGCTGCTTGGGACACGGTAAATGCTCTATATACGTTAGCTATGTTGTTGTTGTTAGGTGCCGTCAAGTTGTCTCTGACTCATAGCGACCTTATGTACAACAGAACGAAATACTGCCTGGCCCTGTCCCAGCCTCACGATCCCTACTATATCTGAGCCCACCGTTCAGCCACTGTGTCAATCCATCTTATTGAGGGCCTTCCCCTCTTTTGTTGACCCTCCACTTTACCAAGCATGACATCATTCTCCTTCTGACAACATGACCAAAGTAGGTGAGATGAAGCCTGGCCATTCTCTCTTCCAAGGAGCATTCTGGCAGCACTTCTTCCAGGAAAGATTTGTTAGTTCTTTTAGGAGTCCAAAGCACTTTCAGCATTCTTTGCCAACACCACAACTCAAAAGCATCAACTCTTCTTTGGTCTTTCTTATTCATTGTCCAGCTCTCACACGCATATGAGGTGATTAAAAATAGCATGGCTTGGGTTGGCACATCTTAGTCTTCAAGAAGACATCTTTGCTCTTCAATACTTGTAAGAGGTCTTTTGCAACAGATTTTCCCAATGCAATATGTCTTTTGATGTCTTGACTGTTGCTTCCAGTGACGTTGATTGTAGAACCAAGTAATATGAAGTCTTTGACAACTTCAATCTTTTCTCCGTCTCTTGTGATGCTGCTTATTGATCCAGTTGTGAGGATTTTTGTTTTCTTTATACTGAGGTGTAATACAAACATTAGCTTTGCTTACTATTATTTTTCTTGTAGAACAAGTACCCTGTCAGTCTTGTTGGTTGCTTTGTCCCCAGGATTTGGGACTAGTATTTGGCACATCTTAAATTAAATTGAATAAATAAATAGACTAAGCATCCTACCTCTTCAAGACCCCCTTGGCTTCAGTTTCCTCTTGGGTCGGATGAAGGCGTCACTAAGACCCCTTTCAGCCTCACAGCAGTATGATGACTCTTCTATCCCGCCTCTTCGCTCCTCCAGACTCTTAAGGTCCATACTGAGGCCAGTTTGGAACGTGAACCTGGGGCCAGGGCCCGCCTCCGTTGCCCTGGCAGCGGCTCCGCCCAGATTTCTGGAGATCCCAGGCTCTGATTGGCTGGACGTTTGTCACTTTCTCGGGCTGGGTCGGCCGCCGCCATTGTGCGGCGCTGGACCCCTCAGAGGGTGCCAGCTGGGGCGAGCTTGTCAAGTACCTTCCCTCGCCTGTCGCTATCCTGTCCAGAGATCCCGGCAGGTCCGGGACTCCGGTCCTTGCTGGTGCGGGCGCCGGCATGTGGTTTTGGGAGGAGCAAGGCGGCCTCCTGGGCCCCTTCTCCTTTCTGCTGCTGCTGCTTCTGCTGGCGACACGCAGCCCCTTCAATTCTTGCCTCCTCACAGGCAGCCTCTACGTCCTGCTGCGCTTCTTCAGCTTTGAGCCAGTGCCCTCCCTCAGGGCCCTGCAGGTGCTCAAGCCCCGGGGCCGCGTCTCCGCTATCGCCCACCGCGGCGGCAGCCACGACGCGCCAGAGAACACCTTGGCGGCCATCCGGCAGGTGAGCCCCTCACGCCTCACGTCCCTCAACCCCACCTAGGAGCTTGGGCTTTTGCTTGCCCTTCCGAAGGTCCCCCAGTTGTTTCATGGTAGCCTTCCCGGTCCCCCATTTGCCCACAAATAATGCATTCCCATAGATTTTGATTCTTCCCAGTATCCGGGACTCTCCTGACTTCAAGTATTTATAGAATACTTAAGCAAATATTTATAGAACTCCTGCTGTGTGCCAGGCAGTGAGGGTACAACCATGGACCAGGCAGATAGGATCCCTGCTTTCACGGAGCTTACATTGGAGTAGGGAAGACAGTCCTTAAACAAGTAAATAAATAAATGAGATACTTTAAGAGAATGAAAAATTCAGTGAAGAAATAGGGTAATGGGATAAAGAATGACTGGGAGTTGTTAGATAGAGTAGATGTGATATACTTAGATAGTGCTGTTTTAACTGAAACCAGAATTAAGAGAAGGAGCCAACCATGGGATCTGGGGAAAAGTGTTTCAGGCAAAGAGAATAGCAAACGCAAAAGCCCTGAGATGGGAATGAGCTTTCTTAAGTGTCCAGGGAATAGAAGAGGCAATTTGCAGCCTGAATTCAAGGAACAGAACAAAGGCCAGTGTGTAAACGAAGTAGGAAATGTAGCCAGGTCACATAGAGTCTTGGTCAGTAGTTGAGTTTATTCTAAATGGAACACCCTTCACAGCAACGGGGTGCTTTGCTTGTCCTCTAAATGACTTTGCCACCATTTCCTTATCACACACAAACACATCTCAGAAACATACATACAACCCTAGTAGTCTGATATTTAATTTCTCCTTTTTTTGTAAGGCACTCACTTCTGAGATAAGATATCCCTTCCAGCTCCTGGCAGTCTCCTGTCTTCACAATAATGACAAGTTTGCACAGCAAAAGAGCCTTTCAGTTGACCAGGCACTTTTGCATCTGTGGAAATGTATCTGATCCTTTCATTCTGTTGACACATGATTTTCACATTAAGTGGGTGGGAAAATTGAGCCTTAGGTGCATTTATCTACCTCCAGATTTCAACTTTCTGATTCCAAGCCCAGCGCTCTTTGTCACAGTTTAGAATGTGCTGCAGGATGTAAAAACTTGAAATGACTGTCCTTTCTTTGCCCAGCTAGGGACAGACAGTATTGTGTAAGTAGCCTATTACTTAAGCTCGCTATGTCACACTTAGGGTCATGACTTGGGTGCAGCAAGCAAGGTGCCTGGTTCGGCACCTAAGAGTGAGTACCTCCTTAAATGTTGCACCATGCGTAGCCTCCTCACTCTAGTTCCAGCCCTAACCCTAGTGTTTGCATCTGTAAAATGGGAATGATACTGGTAACCACCTAACTTTATTTTTTTAAAGTTGCCATTGAATCGATTTCAACTCATGCCAACTGTGTGTGTCAGAGTGAAACTGCTTCATAGGGTTTTCAATGGCTGATTTTTTAAAAGTAGATCACCAGGGTTTTCTTTCAAGGAATCTCAGTGGATTTAACCTCCAAATTTTTGGTTAGCAGCCAAATAAGTTAACCTTTTGCACCACTTAGGGACTTCATCTATCTAATAGGTTGTGAGGATTCAATCAGATAATCCATATAAACTGGCTGGCCTATGGTAAGAACTCCGCAAATGTAAACTATCCTGCCAGTAATTTGAAGTTAGCATGACTCTTTGAAACTGCTTTGGTGTAAAAAAAATTAAGTGTGAAGAGAGAAGGGGGTCAGATACGCAACCTTTGAGTCAGTGGATAGTACCTGAGTTTTTGTGTTTTAAAACCAAGTTAGTGGTATAGCAGTTAAGCAAAAGGTTGGTGGTGTCTACCCACCAAAAGATTCCATGTGAGAAAAGACATGGTGATGTGGTCTGGTAAAGGTTGTTGTTAGGTACCATTTATTTAGACTCAATGACCCCATATGACCAAATAGAACTGCCCCGTATGGTTTCCTAAGCTGCCTTTTTGGGAGCAGAGCACTACATCTTTTCTCCCATGGGACTGCTGGGTGGATCTGAACTGGGAACCTTTTGGTTAGCAGTTGAATGCTTAACTGTTGTGCCACCCTAAAAAACCCAATGTGCAGTTCTGCTTTGTTACGTGGGATCTCTATGAGTCAGAATCAACACAGATTTTTATTATGTTTCTCTCTTGGTTCTTTGTGATGGAAGAGAGACTGCAAGAATGGTTTTTCTAGCATCTAACAATAAATCAAAAATTTTGAAGAATGTTATTTTACATTGTGAAGTTACACTCAGAGAGGTGGATGGCCAAAACTCAGAGAGGTCAAATGAAGTAACAGATGTAAAAGGTAGTATTGTCATAAAAAAGAATGATGACATTTACTATAGAAAAAAGTACATGACTGTCATTGGATTCCATCTAGTTTATCTTTAGGTAACTACTCAAAGCATAGCTCAATGTTCATTGAACACAGAGGTATTCAATAAATATTTACTGGTGGATGTGCTGGTGTGGGCAGGAGCATGTGTGGTTGAATGTAAGTCATATTTAATGCTTGAGAAAGTACATATGTGAAACAAGCATAATAGTTCATATCCTGTTGTGTTGCAAGGGAATTACTTTATAGTGAAATTCCATTCATGTCTTGTACATTTCTGTTGAGCATATCTTTAATATGTATAATAATGATAATGCATGTTATACTAAATTGGTTCTTGGTCTTAAGAGGAAATAAGATGTGATGATTCAGCTTGTTACAATGTAAATATTATCAGTAAACTTTTTAGTCATAACAGTAATTAGTTGCTGAATATAGCCTGCACAAGACAAGGTTGTGTCCTTCCTTGACTTCAAAAGAAATCCATGTTGTTGTTAGGTGCCGTCAAGTCATCTCCAACTCATAGCGATATTATGTACAACAGAATGAAACGCTGCCTGACCCTGTGCCAGCCTCACAATGACTGCTATACCTAAGCCCACTGTTGTTGCCACTGTATCAATCCATCTCATTGAGGGGCCTTCCTCTTTTTCATTGACCCTCTACTTTACCAAACATGATATCCTTCTCCAGAAAAGTCCCTTCTGACAACGTGACCAAAGTAGATGAGACGAAATCCGACCATTCTCGCCTTTGAGGAACACTCCGGCTGTACTTCCTCCAGGACAGATTTGTTAGTTCTTTTAGCACTCTGTAGTACTCTCAGTATTCTTCGCCAACACCACAACTCAAAACCATCAACTCTTCTTTGGTCTTCCTTATTCATTGTCCAGCTCTCACATGCAAATGAGGTGATTGAAAATACCATGGCTTGAGTTAGGCATACCTTAGTCTTCAAGGAGACATCTTGGCTCTTCAGCACTTGAGAGAGGTCTTTTGCATCACATTTGCCCAGTGCAGTGTATCCTCTGATGTCTTGACGCTGCTTCCATTGGTGTTGGGTGTGGATCCAAGTAATATGAAATCTTTGCAACTTCAATCTTTTCTCCATTTATTGTGGTTCTGCTTATCATTCCAGTTGTGAGGATTTTTGTTTTCTTTATATTGAGGTGTAATCCATACTGCAGACTGTAGTCTTCAATCTTCATCAGTAAGTGCTTCAAGTCATCCATACACTCAGCAAGCAAAGTTGTGTCATCTGCCTGTCACAGATTATTAATGAGCCTTCCTCCAATCATGATGCCACGTTCTTTATATAGTCCAGCTTCTCGGATTATTTGCTCAGCATACAAATTGAGTAAGTATGATGAAAGGATAAAACCCTGACGCACTTCCTTCCTGATTTTAACCATGCAGTATCCCCTTGTTCTGTTTGCACGAAAGCCTCCTGGTCTATGTACAGGTTCCTTATGAGTACAATCAAGTGTTCTGGAATTTCCATTCTTCTCAATGTTATCCGTAATTTGTTATAATCCACAAATTGAATGCTTTTGTATGGTCAATAAAACACAAGTAAACATCTTTCTGGTATTCTTTGCTTTGAGCCAAGATGCATCTGACATCAGCTATGATATCACACCACGTCCTCTTCTGAATCCAGCTTGCATTTCTGGAAGGTCTCTGTCAATATATTGCTGTAACCATTTTTAAATTATCTTCAGAAAGATTTTACTTGCATGTGATTTTAATGATATTGTTTGATAATTTCCACATTCTATGGGATCACCTTTATTTGGAATGGGTACAAAGATGGATCTCTTCCATGTCAGTTGGCCAGGTAGCTGTCTTCCAAATCACTTGGCATAGCTGAGTGAGTACCCCCAGCAGGGCATCCATTTGTTGAAGCAGCTCAATGGGTATTCTGACAATTCCTGGAGCCTTGTTTTTTGCCACTTCCTTCAGTGCAGCTTCGACTTCTTCCTTCACTACCATTGGTTCTTGATCATATGCCACCTCCTGAAATGGATGAAGACGGACCAGTTCATTTTGTTACAGTGACTCTGTATTCCCTCCATCTTCTTTTGATGTTGCCTGCATCATTCAATATATTGCCTATAGAATCTTTTAATATTGCAACTTGAGGCTTACATTTTTTTCCTCAATTCTTTCAGCTTGAGAAATGCTGAACATGTTCTTCCCTTTTGGTTTTCTAACTCTAGGTCTTTGCACATTTCATTGTAATAATTAGCTTTGTCTTGTTGAGCTGCTCTTTGAAATCTTCTGTTCAACTCTATTCATTTCTTCC